GGAAAATTCCTCGGCTATATAGTCCTACCTAAGTTACGTAGCTACTTAAGCCTTAGGCATATATGCTTAGTTCTTAAGTAGAGACTTTAAGAACAGTATAATTCTCCTAGTACATAATAAGCGTATACTCGGAATCGTAAAGCAGGAATGCTAAGCGCTCGTTACGCGGAAAGTTCTATTACTAAAACAAGCTCGAGTACTAGATCTAGGAATCGTAGACTCCTATCTACCGGGATTAGTAGAAATTCGCTCCCTCCTTTAGTATTTAAGACAGACACTAGATGTAAGGTTAGAATACCTACTTAAGCCCGTGCGTAGAGGTAAAGGCGCTAGGATAGGATTCGGCGATAAAATGTCTGCCGACGCGTAGCTTAATATCCTCGAGCGCCTTAGCCTTAAGTCGAAAACACTCGATTTGGGCGGGACGTTTATAGTGTAACGGCGGATTATTCCTAGACTTTACGATGTCGTACTTAATGCTTCGGGTATAAGGCACAGTTACCCGCTAGTCGGGACTGTTCCTATAGCTTATAGGAAGGTTACAGGCTGGGGAATATAGAGATGTAGTAAAAATTGAATTTGTGCGGTTAGTAATAGGGGAGCGATATTAGGCATATTAATAAGGCGGGAAGGCAATCGAGCGGACTCTTAAGCGAGCGATATTGGGGATATTAATAAGACGGGAAACCTGGTAATTGAGTCAACTCTTGAGCGTCTAAAGGAGCTGAAGTCCTCTTTACTCACTGTATATATCGCTTCCCAGTACGTACAAGGAGACGAAACCAAAAACCCCGCTAGGAGGTGTTTCCAATTCGCACGGGTTCACGAGGTCGAATGTGGAGAGGGAGCGACTTTTCCCGTACATCAGCACCAACATTTCATTTCCTCAAGCAATACCCATCTTAACCGCTTTGCGAACAAAAAAAAAACATTCAATATTTGGGATTGACAAAAAAAAGAACATTCAACATTTGGGATTGACAAAAAAAAGAACATTCAACATTTGGGATTCCCCAGTGGTCACCCACCTGAGTACWGATCAAACGATTACATGGTTCAATAGGCCAGAGCGGACGGGATGGCTTGCTTTCATGCATCTATGGTCGAATGTGGCAAGAAAGCGTTTTGTCCGTATATAAGATTTTGCAAATGTTGGTCGCKACGGTCTTGAAGAAGGACCTAGAAATAACAGAGCCATCTGTCGTCGTTTGATCCTCATGAGCCATTCCGTGGTGGACTGCCTCATGACAAGCCTCTGACAGGGAACCGATGGCGGATGCGCTCACCTCTGTAGAGAACGGCCAGACTCTGTTGTATACGTCAGTACTCTTATATTCACAGTTCCCACCAAGACGCAAGACATACCAGTGCAAAGAAAAAGAAACACATGATGGCCATGACTCCAAAACCCAGTCCATATCCCAAGTCCTCCACCAGCGGTGGGATCCAGAACCCGGCTGTGAAGCCGATGATCTGTCTCCCAAGATTCAAGAAGGCAGTCACAGCCAGCGCATGATGGGGAAAGCATTCGATGCAGTAGGTAATAACAACGTTGAGCACGATCTGCAGGCCGAATATGGAGACACCCCAAGCGATTACTGGTCCGGACCAGTGGGTACTACTTTGGAGATGTTAGCAAAGGAACGTTTCTCTCCAGGGCGCGATGAGATTTACTCTTCGAGTGTGACTCCATATACTACCAATCCGGTGATGAGGAGGAAGTAGCCGGGTAATATCACCCACAGACGATACTCGTACCGCAATTGCGTTCCCATCTCCTGACATCTCTTCTTGTAGCGACTCATCCAAATGTCACTCATTCGCCCGCCTACCTGTCCGCCTAGGACAGCGCCAACAAGATACGAGATGAACACTAGCCCAATCTGCCGCTCTCCAAACCCATAAACTGGACCGAAGATCTCCGGCAGCGTGATTGAGAGTCCCACGGAGATAATCCCAAAGGAGAGGGCAAACACACTCATCATCAGAAGTACCACAGGACTTTGAATGAACAACGCCCACTCCGCCCACTTCCATGCTCCAGCGCTGCCCGTCCTCCAGTCTCCAAACAGTCCCATCCTGTGCTTTCTTTCAACATTTCCCCTCCGCGCCACCCACTTCGTCTCTGGGAATGCAACAACATACCCCAGCAACTGGGCACCATTTACAATAGCATTCAGATATAAGCCCCACCTCCACCCTTTCGCCCCAACAAGGAATCCTCCAACCAAAGCTCCCAAAGCTGGCCCACAAGTCACTGCCACATTCCACAAATTCAATTTCCGCCCTCTGCTCTCCGGTTGAAACAAATCCACCACAACTCCCGACCCAAAAACTCCTCCGGCGCTGATTCCGGCTCCTTGGACTACCCTCCCAACCATCAACCCCGCATAGCTGCTCGAGAACCCAGCTCCCAGATTTCCCGCCAGCGCAACGACGATCGCGGAGATGAAGCTTGTTCGATTGCCGAAGCGATCCGCAAAGGGAATCCAGAGTAGAGGCCCAAGACCCAGGAAGAGGACATTCACAGATGCGGCGTAGGATGCCGTCTGCGTGGAAACGGAGAATTCACGGCCAATAAGGGAAAGACCTGGTACGATGATTGTGGATTGGAAACCTATCATGAGGCCGTTGAAGGAGAGTAAAAAGAGACAGAGGTGGCGTTGATATGAGGGCCATTGCGAGGGGTGGGTCGTTGGTATACCATGGATGGATTGTGAGTCTTTCATTGTGGAGTCGGGGGAGTGAGTGGTTGGTAATGGAAGATCGATATGAGGTTCCGACATGGCGTTAGGGTAAGACCAGAGGGTGAAAAAGTGCTTCACATAAGGCCTCAGTGGTTTAAGTATCCCTAGGAAGCAATTGATATGGCTAAACGGGCTAATCGCTGTGTAGTTGGCTGGTACTGTTCACGCATCTCTCCATACGTTGTAAGTCGGTAGGCCACAACGAAAAAGTCGATTTCCCAACACTTGTTCTTCGAAGGAAGAGGTGACGGGAGAGAGTGACAAAAGAGACGGTGACCGTTCGATATCTTTCTCGGTGACAGCTTAACCGCAATGGTGGAAGTATGACATACCGCGCGATCCGATCATTTTGTGAATGCCATTCAGGGCAAGGTGTGAGCTCCGCTTTCCACACCGCCGCTTGCACATGATTCGCTGCGTTTGTTGATTCTTGTCGCAGAGCGGTGTGCACAATCCCAATCAAGAGCTCCGCAATCGATTGCTGCAGCTATCGCGTATATTGCTCGATGAATGACTTGATTGGGTAATTGACTGATGCAGGACAACGTGGCCGGGAGTCAGGATTGGAAGACTCTGCGAAATGCCAAGAGTCCCCTGACTTTGGGTTTCGGCTATTCGACCTCCTCTGCGATGAATCTGCCGCGGAGTGTAAGCTGAATCCCTAATGGGTAATGAGCAGCGTGATGTCACACCTCTCAAAAAACTCACGACGTCACTATTGCAACAGCACCAAATGGATCCTGATGCAAGCACCACTTTAGTACAAGCGTCAAGTATGTGCGTCCATTCGCAGTTCCGCCTGCTCTCCCTTCCTTGCTATAGTGCGTCTAGTCTCCAAGTGCTTGTAATGTCGTTCAAAGAGTCTCTGTCGGAGCTCCTAATATCGTTCGAAGCGTTTCCGTAGGAAGGTGGTACCAGAGCTGTCGATATGAGGATTATTCATCAGGACAAGGCATCCGCAGTGATGTCCATAATGTCCTGAGGCCTCGCTCTCTACAGGCTCGATAATCGAAAGCCTATCAGAATCCCTGCTACTAGCAGAGTGGCCGTTAATCAATCGAGAGATCAGTTTAGGGCGCTGCTCTTGTTAATGATTTCTTATATCGACAGCTCTAGGTGGTACATCCAGCAATCTAGCCGTTGAGCTCGTTATTAACAGTTATAAAAACGATCAGCCCAAGTATCTCCTTTTCTATTAAATCAACCCCTTCGACAATTATAATCTTAATGCAACTGTTAGCAAGCAGCAATTGCGTAGAGGGTTCCCGCTAGTACCTATTAAGCGGTATAGGCGAGATCTTATGTAGCATTAAAAGGCGACTACGGTTATTACTGCCGTATGTGCTATTGTCTCGAGCAGCCTAGCTAGCTTTAAGGAAGCCGTCTAGGCTACGGTTCTAGCTAGCTATAATAAGGTGCCTTATCCGGTGTATATCGTCCGACTACGTATAAGCATTAACGTCCTTATACGTCTTATTACGCATTACCGGCGATATGCTATATTCCCGTTTATCGCCCTTTTTAATAGTACCGGTTCTATAAGGTAGGATCGTGTCTATTAACGGAAGGTAGAAATAAGGTAGACGAAGAGAGACCGGCTACCGGTGTTCTTAAAGTCTCTACTTAAGAACTAAGCATATATGCCTAAGGCTTAAGTAGCTACGTAACTTAGGTAGGACTATATAGCCGAGGAATTTTCCCTTAAGTAGAAAAATTAATTAGAGTTTATCTATTATAGAACATCTAGTAGCTAAGAGCTTAAGTCTAGCTCCTTAGCTAGACCTATAGTCTACCTCGCCTACTTAGGGCTAGTAGGCTAGCTAGTTCGTCCCGTTACCCTATATAAGACGATTTAGAAAGAAGCCTACTAGCTTAAGAACACGCATCTTAGATATTAATACAGCCCTTAGATTAAAGCGACGAGAACTCTTCCGCTAGACTACCCTAGGAGTTAGCTTAACGCTAGCGTTACGCTATATACTTCCGTAGCTAGGTAAAAACTCTAATTTAGACCGTATATCTAAGCTAGAGCCCTTAGAAGCACTTTATAACCGTCCTTAGAGCCGTAGTAGCTCGCTCTACCTTATCGAGTAAGGGCTATACTAAGAAAGTCGCCGATATAGCGCTTAGATACGCTATATCCCGTAAGAATCCCTCTTAAGCATATACTACTATAGCTAAGCTAGCGCTAATCGCCTTAGCTTAGCTAAGCATCCTAGAAATATAATATACTATATCTTAGATAACTATAATAGGCACTTAATGTATTACGCACGGTAACCTATTTCCTTCCGCCCTACTTAAAGGTGTCTTAGTAATTCGCCGCTATAGCGCTTAAGAAAAACTCTACACTTAAACGAAGTAGGATGCTTTAATTTAAAAGGAAGAGTTATAACCTTTCTCTCTTAAAGTACTATACTATCCTACCTCTACCTTTAACCGACTAAGCTATTATAGTAATAGCTAACCTATCTAAAGTAAGAGACGAGGAAGGCTCTCCTCGCCCTTAAGATGCCTTTTAGGCCGAGTAAGCCCCTCCGCTTATCGTCGTAGGACCCTCGAAGCCTATACGACGCTCGCTTAAGTACGAGTCGTACGACTTCTACTCCTTAGCCGATATAATCGATAACCTTTAGTTATACTTCTATATCTAAAACCCTYCTTATAGAGGATAACTTAAGGCTATACTAGAGGCCTTAGATATAGAAGACGCTACCTTTAGGACCTACTTAAGAGCCGTCGCCGCTAGGCTTTAAGAACTTAAAGCCGAAAACGAGCGACTACGCGAATACGATGCACTTAACTAGGGTACTACTATCCTGCGCGGACTAAGCGACCTAGGGTTAGTACGGTTCCGTCTTAACGACCCTCCCGCTACTATCTAAGCTAATAGAGGCAATAGGGGTAGTTAAGCACTACTAACCGCTCCGGGATTCCCTAGAGACAGCTCTAATTTAAGCGGATTAGATAATAACGACGGCCTATTAAGGGACCGTCGCTATAGAGGTTCTAAACCCTCTAAGAGAGCCCCTCGTATTAAGGGGACTATTAGCATCCTAGCTAACTACTATAGGGATATTAAGGATAATATAGCTACTCTCTAGGTTTAGGAGCTTAACCGCTACTTAAATAATATAATTACTCTTAACTAGAGGTTTAGACCTATAGAAGAGGCGCTTATTAGCCTTATTAGGGGCTTAATAAAGAAGAATGTATTATCCTAGTAGGAAGATTAGGAAACTAAGTTTAAGCCTCTTATCTACTAAGGAAGCTATACCTTAGAGATAATACTTAATAGTGTTAGAATTTAACAGGCTAGGGAATAACTATGCCTTTGCTAAGAAACTACTTGTATTTAGTCTTCTAAGAAGGCTCTTCCTTCTCTAAATTACACTCGCTTACCCCGACTATCCTAGATGCTTCTCTCTCTCTTCGTCCCTAGATTTCACTTTTTAATAAATAGTCTCTAAAGCTACTTCTAGGATTACTACTACTAAGAGAAGCTATAGAAGAAATTCCGCCGCTTTAAGCAGCTAGGGAGTATTAACTCCTTCTACTATAAGTTAATAATAGCTTCTAGCCTTCTCTAGCCTAAGCCGGATAATCTTACTATCTATTAAGCCTTTTACGATAGCTTAAAGCTTAAGATCCGTATAGAACTTATTCGCCTTAGCTTAACTCCTTAGAAGTCTATCTTAAAGCCTATCGTAGACTAAGCCTAGCGAACTAATATAGCTAATATAGAGATTGCGGAATAACGTAGAGAGCCTCGCTTAGATTAGGTAGGCTTGCGTAATCGCTCTAACCGAGCTACCTATCGCTCCCTTAGAGGAAAGAARAGAGCTACCCGTTAGTAGTTAGAACACCTAAACTCCTTAGACTAACGTATTAGGTAAGATAACTTACGTAAGCCTACTTCGACTAACTTCTCTCCGAAGTATTATAACTACGGAGTAGCTAGCTATATCTAGTTTAAATGCTCTAAGCAGCTTAAGCTAGAACTTAAGGCTAAGTAACGTAATTAGGAAGCTCGTAATGCATCTAAGTTAAAAAACTAAGTAACGATTTATCGGAGGATAATAAATCGCCCTAGTAATTGTCCTTACTCTCGATGCCTCTTAACGCTCGCTTCGATTGCTTAAATGCTATTAGGACTAATCTTCTCTAAGCCCTAGGCTTACTAGGGAAGGATATCTAAGTCCTAGCTAAGTTCCTATTCGATACTATAGCTTTAGGAATCTACGTCTCTAAGGATATTGTTGCCTAGTTCCCTTAGTATTAAGTAGATCTTCCTATTAAGTAAGTTAAACTCCCTAACGGCCGCTTAATAGAAAGCTTAACTAGTATAGAGATTC